AGGGTTGAGGAGTCTTTTAAACAGAGTAAGAGTCATCTGAGATGCGTCAGTTGGTCCCAATCCACCTGGAGTAAAGGAGAATGAAGAACACCAAAGTCACAAGGAAAGGATTAGCCTAAGAGACAGAAAGAGCCACATAAACTGGAGACTGCGTTGGCCTGAGACCAGAAGAGCTAGATGGTGTGAGGCCACCACTAATGACTGCCCTGACAGGGAACACAACAGAGAGTCTGTGATGGAGCAGGAGAAAGGTGGAATGCAGAACTCAAATTCTAGTAAAAAGACCAGACTTAATGGTCTGACTGAGACTGGAGGAACCCCAGAAAGCACGGCCCCCAGACTCTCTGTCAACCTAGCACTAAAACTATTCCCGAGGCCAACTCTTCAGTCAAAGATTAGATTGGACTATGGGACATAAAATGATACATAAAATGAAGAGTGTGCTTCTTAGCTCAAGCAGATACATGAGACTAAATGGGCAGCTTCTGTCCAGAGGTGAGATGAGAAGGCAGAGAGGGTCAGGAGCTGGTTGAATGGACATGGGAAATGAGGGATGGAAAGGAGGAGTGTTCTGTCACAGTATAGGGAGAGCAATTAGGGTCACATAACAATGTATATATAAATTTTTGTATGAGAGACTAACTTGAATTATAAACTTTCACTTTTAAAGTACAATAAAAAAAAAAGAGATTGCATTGAATGCAATTTAAATGAGATAATTGAATGATCACATTTTAAAAATCCATACGTAGGTTTCATAGAACTTTCTTTACAGTCCTATTAAATTCTTTTTTACATAATTTTCTTCCTTTCCTTTTAAAATAGTAACATTGAGCAGTTTTGCTGTTATTTCAAAGAGCTGCCCGCTGTGGAATTAAGGAATGGGAAAACGGCCGGAAGGCGAACATACCACACCAGGAGCCAAGGGGATAACAACGTGTGAGTTCTAAGAATATGGTGTTTCTGGCTCTGAGCTACAAAACAAATGACTCTTACTGGTGATTTTCATTGCATTATGTGAGTTAAGAGACACAAATAAAAATTTTAAATTTTTTTCTAAAGATTGTGCTTAAATATCTAGCTGACAATCTTAATGTTGGAATTCTTTTATTCTTATTTACCGTAACAGGCAGGATAAATTTAGCATGCTACTTACTGAGGCTTTGCACATTTGGGCATCCTAAAATTGATGACATCTGTATGTGAAATGGAGCCCTGGTGGTGTGGTGGTTAAGAGCTCAGCTGCTAACCAAAATAACAGCAGTTCGAATCTACCAGTTGCTTCTTGGAAACCCTGTGGGGCAGTTCTGCTCTGTTCTGTAGGGTCGCTGCGAGTCAGAATTGACTCAACGGCAGCGAATTTGGTTTGTCATATATGAAGTACAGTGATAAGTAGATCAGCATGAATATCGTTAGTGCAAATTGACGCGTCTGATATTTTTTAGGTAATCCTGTCTCGGATAATAAAATGAGTTTGTAGCCAGCAGATTAATTACAAGGCAGTGCAGTCAATTTTTAGTTGATATGAAGAGGGGAAAAAGTGAATAAGTGATTATTAAGGGCCAACCCTGTATTCAAGTTCAGGGCAGCCCGGCCCCATTTCAGGGTTAGGAGATTATCATATTTCATGATTGTAAGGGGGACTTTTTTTTCATATCTTAATATTACTGAGAACAGGGCTCTTACAATCTGTATATGTTGAGTGTAAAGCTTTCCCTGCCTGCCCGTCTCCACTCCTGCATACACCCATTCCCGCATGTTCTGGAAAGGTACCTTTTGATCCGACACCATCCTGCCTAGGTGACTGAGGGAGAAAGGGACAGAGTATGTTGGAATAGGGGGCAGTAGAGACAGAAGCAAAGTCTGAGGGCACTTTAAAGCCAGGCATTGGAGCAAGGCTGGAGTGACATCACTAGAAGTGGTGTTTTAAGAGAATGTCCTGGGGAGCAGCACATGGGATGAGCCTGAACGGGCCTGCATTCAGGGAGGCTTCACGCTTCACAGTAATCAGGTTGGCAGGGAAAACAGTGAAATGAAGAGGAGAGAGATATACGTGCAGAAAAGTTAAGGGAAGAATTGGTGGTGCTTGTTGTATTGGTGTCAGGTAGGTAGGTGTAGTTACAAACTGCAGAAATTGCCTCTGGGCCAGCTTAGGCAGAAAAGGAATCTACTGAAGGGCTGTTGGTGAGCTAGCCATTACTGGGTGGGCAGAAAACCAGGTCTGGAGTCTAGGCAGCCAGCACCACAGCCACAGGCACCCCACAGAACTATCCCGAAAGGACATGCCTGCCACTGCCATGTGGCATGATACCACAGTCACATTGTCAGTGACTGGAGCTGGGTGCTGGTGAGCTGCTGTTACTGCCACCCCTGGACTTCACATGACGCTGTCGCCACCACTGCCACTAGAGAGGATTTAGTGCCATCTCTGCCCCTCTGTGTCACTAACTCTTGCTTCAGAGGGGCAGAGCCCAGGTCTTGGCTGCAAAGGAGGCTGAGAAAGCAGGTATCTGGCTTCTTCAGCTTCTGTAGTTGTAGGCGAGCCCTGCCTCTCACCAACACGTGTAAAGAGGGAGTACCCCAAACTCAGGAAGAGAGTTCAGGTATTGGACAGTCAAACATTTGTGCCTCAGGGGCCTCCTGGATAACAGGGGAGAGAAAGAAGATGTTGAGATTCCCTGGGGTATCAATTAAGTATCCAGGAGCATGGTGGTTATATCAGCGGATGAGGGAGTTGAAGGTTGTGGTGTATCAGTTTAGCTACTTGTGTGGAAAACCAAGCTTAACAGTGACTTAAACATCTTTGATTTATTCTTTCATGTAAAAGTTGGAGGTTATCTGTCTAGGGTTGTTGCACAGAGTCATCCAGCTGCTTCTAGCTTTCTGTTTCACAAGCTTAGGGTGGGGCTCTCATCCACATAGTCCAGGATGGTGCTGGAAGCTCTGCCATTACATCCTCATTGCAGCTAGCAGGAAGAAGGAAGAGATTAATGAAGAGGACTACTCTTTCCCTCTAAGGAAATTTCCCGGAAGTTCAACACACAGTCCTCTATTCAGGGAGGTCATGCGCACAGCAGAAAGATGGAAGTTTGATTCCTGTGGAAGAAGAGGAGAATGGAGGGAGGGTGTGGGGACATACAAAGAGTAGGTGCTTGAGCAGTCTAGTGCACACTGAGGTTGGAGTGACAGGAGTACAGCCGGTAGAAAAGTCCTGTTGGTAACTGGAGAAACCTGGATAAAAGTGATCGTGACAAAGTCTGGTCTGGGGGTTTGGAGTTGAGAGGCTTTGATGTAGAATCAAGTGTTGAAGTTTGTGGCAGAGATGGGAGGTGTCATAGACGGGGGACTGGAAAGTACTCCTAGTGAGGGAGAGAAAGAAAAAAGCAGGAGCTGGAAAAGAACCTGTTACTTGTCTTAACTATTTAATTTGTTAATTGTTAAATCGACACTCCTAAGTAATTTTGCTTGTGACTTATCCACTGAATTACTGAATTTCTGTAAAAATTCGGAGTGTGCAAGTATAGCAGTACTTGGTGCCCTCAAAATTCACCATCTAGTTAAAGAGCTAGTTTTGTCCACAATTACTGCTGTTCACATAGGTCCGTGAGATGCTCTTGCTTAATTGTCAGACTTAGTTCAGAAAAGACCACATCCTTTTTATGTTTTCACTTTGGATTGATCTGCTGCGCATTTCAGACAGTTGGACTCTCTGGATTGAGGTGGTGGCCTCAGTAATGCTGCAGGCACCGTCTCTCCCTTCCTCTTCTGCAGGTCCTTGGTGGAAGAGTTCAGAAAGACCCTCTGTGCTCTGTGGCAAGGCAGCCAGACCGCGTTTAGCCCAGAGTCCTTATTTTACGTTGTTTGGAAGATTATGCCGAACTTTAGGTAAGTATTACTTGAGGGGTGTTTTAAAACGTTAATGTTACTCTTTATACTGTTCCTGAGACAATTTTCAGTGAATTGGTATTCTTCTAAATAATAAAGACCAGTTTCTTTTTGTTCTGTTTTTATTTTTGAGAAGAGCAGAAGTTGAGTGTACCTGACTGAACAAACATGTTTGTTTAAATACTAGATGTTAGAAATGTCTTTAACAGAGGGTAGGGTATCTTGTTATAAAAACAAAGCACTTGTAAATAACTTACATGCTCTAGGAAACTTACTGGACAGCACTTCCTTGATTCTTTCAAAATCTTACAATAAATAATCACCATCATATACTTTCTTGTTCCAACTAAAAAAATCCAGATGTAATCTGTAGAAATCCGTGGTGTTGTATTCAGTGTTCCTGGTCTGGGTTCTGAATCTCTTGGAAGACTGTATTTAAGTCCCTGAGGATTCGCTTTACAGAAGGTAGCTGAGCCACATCCTAGCATGGCTGTTGAATTTGTGCTTTCTCTCTAACGGGCTTGAGTACAGATGCGCTCCCGTGTTCCGAGGACTCCTGTCTCTTCTCCTAGGTTAGGCGTCGTGGTAGAGATCAGAGTGATAGCAGATTTAGGGCACTGAAGGCTTTTGACGACAGCCACCTTCTACTGAAGCAAGTCGTGATTCTTACTAGTTGTTATGGATTGAATTGTGTCCCCACAAAATGTGAGTCTACTTGACTAGACCATGATTCCCAGTATTGTGTGATGGTCCATTTTGTCACCTGATGGGATTTATCTGTGTGTTTTTAATCCTGCCTCTGTGCCTCTATGATGTTAATGAGGCAGAACTAGAGGCAGTTATGCTAATGAGGCAGAACTCAATCTACAAGATTAGGTTGTATCTTGAGTCAGTCTCTTTGGAGATATAAAAGAGAAAAGCCAGGAAAGAGACGGGGGAACCTCATCACTACCAAGCAAGAAGAGCCAGGAGTACGTGTCCTTTGGACCCGGGGTCTCTGCTCTGAAGAAGTTCCTGGACCAGAGGAAGATTGATGACAAAGACCTTCCCCCAGAACCGACAAAGAGAGAAAGCCTTCCCTGGAGCTGGCACCCTAAATTCAGACTTCTAACCTCCTAAACTATGAGAGAATAAATTTCTGTTTGTGAAAGCCGTCCATTGGTGGTATTTCTGTTACAGCAGCACTAGATAACTAAGACACTAGTCATGGATTGTAGCACCTCATATACATCCCTTTCCTTTTTGAAAAAAACCAGCACGCTGTAGTAAAACTTAGCAACACACCTTGCCCTATTGCCTGATAGTGATGTAGATATATTGTTAATGTAGAGAAACGCCTAAAGGTAACAGCTTCAGGGGACTGATTTTTGGGGTTGCTTAAACGTCTGACCTGGAGGTTCTGGCACGAGTGACTATTGTTACCTGTAGTCTTTGTTTTGAAGGAAACATTTTGTGTATCATGCCACTTAAATCCCCTCTCAGCAGAGACTAATTTTGTGTGACTTTTAGAGTTTCTTGACTCTAAATGGGAAAGATGGGAATGACTGTTAAGTTACCTCTAAGCAGGCTTGGACTTAATATAAAATTTTATAAAATTTCTAATATGATCACCTAACTTGACTCTTGATAGAGATTTAATGTTTACATTTTATTTTTAAATATAGTAGTTTCCATTTGTTGAATGCCTACTATGTGCCAAGCACTTTACATAATGTATGTCTGATCTTCAGAAGCCCTGGTGGCGCTAACGAAAAGGTCAGCAGCAGTTCATATCCACCAGCTGCTCCTTGGAAACCCCATGGAGCAGTTCTGCTCTGTCCTGTAGAGTCAGTGTGAGTTGGAATCAACCACGCAGCAACGGGTGTATTTGATCTTCATTAAAAAAACAAACAACAACAAAATTCTGGCCAAGGTAGGAAGCGTTTATGCCCCTTTTGAAGAAGACAAAACAGACTTAGGGAAGGGAAGCACCTGTTCAGTCTTGTACATCTAGTTGTTAGGACCAGAATGAGAACCCAGGTCTTTATAATAGACGTGTTAACAGTAATTTGTCCACACGAGACCCACTAACTTTTTATTGTTCTCCTTAATGCTCGTGGTGACCAAGTTCCCTTGTTCTTAATTGGGAGTTTAGAAGCATGATGGCTTTATTCAGGAGAATGCTACTTTTCATCTAAATCCATCCACATCTCAGCCCAGTTTAGTTTCTGTAGCCCATCTGAGCGTGATTTAGTTTTTAGCTGATTGGTTTTACACATTCTAATATTCCTACTAATGAAGAAACAGAACTTTGAGAAAAGGTAACCAAATTGAGGACCTTGGCATGGAGTCTTTGGGGTGATTCCTGATACACTTGAACTCTGAAGTTTTCTCAGTCACTGGTGAAAATAGGATGCATTTGTATTAGTTCTGCAACTAATTGATACTGTTCCCCATTCATGTAATCAGTGAATAATTTTTCTCTTGGTTAGATCTAGATCTGGAGATTATATTATGGATAATGTAATCCATAGTATTAAGCTTTAGTGCAGGATCACTGTACAATGCCCAGGTGTGAGGCAGGGACAGAGCTTTCTTCTTACAGCTGTTATTCCTATTGGGTACACAGGGTAAGGTTCTTATAACAGGACTGTAGGGAAGTGCATTAGTCTTGAGTTATGTTTCGACTATATTTATAATCCCAAGGCAGATTATTTTTTAGAAAGCCTTTTTTCCTTGATTAACATGGGGAAGTGCCTTGAGAATTTGATCCCTTGGAATGAAATATGAGGATTCTGAAATACAAACATTCAAGCAGTAGCAGGAACTACTTTTATTTGTTAAACAAATGTGGGAAAAGTATACTCTAAGTGTAATCAGTAGCTTTGGATATAGAAGTCATCAAGGCTGTTCTTTCTCTTTTCCCACTCAGAGTAAAAGCCCATTACTTAGCAAGATTTTTCCTGAACTTTTGAGCTTTCCCCAACATCTACATTTGCTTACCACACTTCTTACGACTTCTAGTATGCCCAGCTTTTTCTGTCCTTTTCTTTTTTATACAAATACTTTAAAGTTTATTTTTTAATAGGCAAAAACATGCATATGGTTCAAAATTCAAAGGTAAAAAAAGACACTCAATGAAAGTTTTTTTCCTACCCTTTTCCGCAGCCATTCATTCTGCTTTCTGGAGACAACCATAGTTACCAGATTTTTGTGTATCCTTCTAGTGATATTCTATGTATATATACAAGCAAATATATGTGTGTATGTGTATACATGTGTATGTAATTTTTAACATAAATGGTAGTGTATCATTTTTCCCCCTACTTTGAGATGATTTCACTTTAGTATATAAATAGCTTCTTCAGAAAAATACTAAAGACCCAAGGAAGCAATTAGTCCAGAGGACTAATGTACTGCATGAACCACAGCCTACATGACCGCGAGACCAGAACTAGATGGTGCCCGGCTACCACTGCTAGCCACTCCAACTGGGATTACAACAGAGGGTCCCGGACAGAGCAGGAGAAAAATGTAGAACAAGTGATCAAATCCACAAAAAAGACAAGGCTTACTGGTCTGACAGAGACTGAAGGAACCCCCGAGACTGGCCACAAGACACCCTTCTAACTCAGACTTTAAAGCCACTCCCAAAGTTCACCTTTCTGCCAAAGATTCGGCAGTCCTGTAAGACAAACAGAGCCCTGGTGGCACAGTGGTTAGGAGCTTGGCTGCTAACCAAAATGTTGGCAGTTCAGATCCACCAGCACTGCTTAGAAACCCTATGGGACAGTTCTGCTCTGTCCTTTAGGGCCACTATAGGGTTGCTATGAGCCAGAATCAACTCGATGGCAACAGGTTTGGTTTTTTGGCATAAGACAAACAATAACACATGTGAGGAACATGCTTCTTAGATCAGTCAAGTATAAAGAGATCAAACAGGCAACACCTGCCCAGGAACAAAGATGAGCAGGTGGGAGGGGACAGGAAAACTGGACAAATGGACACAGTGAACCCGGGGGCGGGGAAAGGGGGAGAGTGCTGCTGATACATGTGGGATTGCAGCCATTGCCATGAAACAATTTGTGTGTAAATTTTTGAATAAGAAGCTGATTTGCTCTGTAAACTTTCACCTAAATCACAGTAAAAAAACTAACAGCTTCCTCAATCTATAGTATGCCTGCATAATATTCCAGTTTATGGTTGTATTGTAATTTATGTAATAGTCCCCTACTGATAGTTACGTAGATTGCTTCTAATCTTGCTGTTCCAAATAGCACTGCTGTGAATAGTCTTCTACATACGTCTGCAGGTATATAAAAGAGGAGTCGCCAGGTCAGAGGGTATGTGCTTTTGTAGTTTTGATGGTGTTTCTGCTAGTCTTTGTTACTCCTTGCTTTCCTTAACATGCTCTTGTCTTGTTGCCATGGTATCTTTGTCTGTCATGTGCTTCCTGCCCTGTGGTCGCTATCTCTTATTTAGGATCCAGCTTAATGCTACCCATTCCCCAGGAAAGTCTCTTGATAATTCAGGTCATGATGTTTATTTCCGTGCTTTTCATGTCATTTATGTGCTATTTCTTTTTTGGTGTCCAGTGTGATTTAATATATTTGCGTTAACTTCCCAAAACAGAGGGTTTTTTTTTTGTTGTTGTTGTTGTTGTTTTAGTTTTGTCAGTTCTGGTTGTGGTTCATGCTTAGAAATGATGGTGAATAAATTAATAAAACATAATTCTTATGTATATCCTAGCTATTCTACTTGGCTTTGTACACAATAGATCTTTTCATGTGATATTTTAATCTAACAATTATTTTTCAGGGTATTTATAAATTGTGAAGAATGTAAAAATACATGCTGTTGATATTTTTTATTTAAACAATATTAGTTCTTCTAGATAGGGATTTTGCTATGGTATGTTTTTTGTGGGTTTGTAAATAAAATTTCATTTTTGTCGTCTTTACTTTCTGGTGTTTTTGTCTTGAAGAAACTCAGCCGTGGTAAGGCACCAGTACTGAACAGGAATAGCTGAATTTAGCTAACTTTGGTTTTGCAGATATTTTGGACAAAATAATAGTTTGAAATGCTTTTATGAATGTTAAAGGTATTTTAAATCTGAACAACCTGAATTCTAATGTGTCCTAGGAATTTTAGAGGAAGTTTGTTCTAAAATGATAAAATTTGATTCTGCAGAGGCATATGGTACTCTCTGTTGACCTTTGCCGTCTTACAGATGGCGTGCGGCACCGCCGGAGCACAGTGACTGGTCAGCAGTGCCTAGGCGTGTGCACAGCAGCGCGTGTTGTGGCATCCCCGGCGCTGTGTGTGTCACTTACTTGGCGATGTCTGTTTCATTATTTGGAATCTCTGTTTTCCTCACTCAGGCAAGCGTAAAGGACCATTTTCTTTGACTGTTGTCTTTAAGAGTTGGATAAACGTGGTTTGTTTTCATTGTGCCGAAATGGTTATGAAGAGATGGCTGCCGCCATGTTTGTCTCTGTTGGGTCTCAGCAGTGTTCCTCTTTCTCGGCCCCATCATTCAGAGGGGAGTTTCACGGTCAGCTAGGCTTTTTCTGTTTGCAGAGTGGTCTTCAGCAGTATTGCTCACAGCCTCTTCATGATGTAGATTTTCTGTAGACATTGAGGAGAAGGGTTAGTGTTTGTCTGACAGCGTTAATGGAGCCACTGTTACTTTTCTCTGTCTTCTGTTTGCTCTTAACTCTGTCACAGTGACACGAGTTGGTTCGTCATAAATCCACTTCCCCGTTAGCTCCCAGACAGCTGCTTGGCTGACGTCACTGAAATAGTTTGTGTAGAAAACAGACGTTGCACCCACATGTGAGGAGTGTCTCCTTTAACATCACTGCAGAACAGGAAAAACCTGCCTTGACTACAGAGGAAACTGTTAAAAAATAGTTAAAAAGAGGGATAGCTAAAGTTTGTTGAGATTGACATGCTAAATAATATTTATGAAGGCTTTCAGAAATGATATTTAAAAACAGAATTGTAAACGCCTCTTTAGTCAGACTCCGAAAAATTCAGAAGCAGGGACTGTATGTTTTCTGGTAAATATCACAAGTTGAAACAGAAGCCCATAACCTATGTCAGTAGAGCAGCTGAGTGTCCATGATCTCACGTAGGCCAGAAAAGGTGTTTGTGATGGTAGAGGAAAAATTAGAAATAGTGTATGTTGATACAAGAGAAGAGAATCGTGGTGCAGTCGGAAACATTCATTGATGTTCATTAGACAGATTGTTTTATTGTGGCAGTTTAGACCTGGTTTTCTGGAAAAGGTGTAATGTGGAATTTCAACCTTTGAGCAGCTTCTGGAGGGGCTCAGTGGGACGGTGGAAAGGTTCAGAGTCTGTCTAGGAGACTTGGGTAAGTGAGGGGGTCAATTGAGGAGATCACCACAAGGCCAGCTAGCTCTAATATTGTTTAGTTTTCAAGTATTTTTAAGTATTAGAATTTCTTCTTGAAAGGAAGTTTTATGTGCAGCTAGCAGGGGTGAAGGCTCAGGAGCCCCCGCTGTGCTCCTGAGCACAAGGCTGCAGCCACTCCAGCACTCTGCCCGCCTGCCGGTTAGAGTGGGCAGCAGAGCCTGCACAGTGACCGAGCGTTTCTGCTTGCTTTCAGGGGCTATCAGCAGCAGGATGCCCATGAGTTCATGCGCTACCTTTTGGACCACCTACACTTGGAACTCCAGGGCGGGTTCAACGGTGTTTCCCGCTCCGCGATTCTGCAGGAGAATTCTGCTCTGTCTGCAAGTAACAAATGCTGCATGTAAGATTTCGTTTCCTTTTAATGGTTTCATGGCTTCGGGCATTTCTGTTGATGTTGCTTTACACTCAGTTTATACTGGGAGGAGAAGGGGTGTCCTGAACGTTTGCTGAAACTTTTGTGCACTTGAACTTTCTGACCAAGTGGACTAAATGTGCCTCTAGCATCCAGCCCAGAGGCATCTTGTATTCACGTGCTGGTATAGTTCCGGTTTTTAGAAGTCCCTGGGTGGCCCAAGTGGTTAACGTACTCGGTGCTAACCAAAAGGTTGGAGGTTCGAGTCCACCCAGAGGCACCTGGGAAGAAAAACCTGCCAATCTACTTCCAAAAAATCAGCCACGGAAAGTCCTGTGGAACACAGTTCTACTCTGACGCACATACGGGGGAGTCGGAAAAGACTCCACGGCAAGTGGTTTGGTGGTTCTCGTGGTTATGTAGTATCAGTTATTTTTAAACTTGAAAAAAATAATAGAAAACGTGTACAGTTCAGCATTTAAAAGGTTTTCTTCCGAATGTACTGCCTAATGGGCGGAAGACTTGATTTTCATATACCAAAATAATTGCATTTGTTCACTAAAAACAAAAGTTTAAATGTGAATTTTCCTGAAAATGCATTTTGGACTTGGATTTTCCTAAAGTATATCTGTTCTTTAATGATATCAAGCCATTTGTAAGTCCTCAGAATTTTTCTTGCTTCTCAGTCTGAATAAAAACAAGCCTGCTGGATTGCTTTCCTATGTATTAATAGCTGAAGGTCTACGTTGAGATCAGACCTTTGTTTTGCTTGAGGCAGGGATGTTTCACTGTCATTTCAGCCTAGATTTTGGTCAGTGCTAGTCTTGTGTTCTGATTTTTGAATAGTCTTGTCAGTGCTGAGCTGTGCAGGAAAGGGAGTTACAAGAAAGACTCCCCCCAAAAAGAAAGGAAAGGGTAAGTAATATACAGGGATCGCTGTTGTATTGTGTGACAGTCCGTAAGTCTGACTTAGTAAGGCTACTCTTAGCAACCGTAGAGGACAGAGTAGAACTGCCCCACAGGGTTTCCAAGACTGTAATCTTTACAGAAGTGGACAGCCACATCTTTGTCCCTTGGAGCAGCTAGTGGGTTTGAACCACCGACCTTTTGGTTAGCAGCCGAGAGCTTAACCACTGCACCACCAGGGCTCCTTTAGTAAGACTAGGTCTTTTTAATAACGAAGCTTGGCACCTTCAGCCTCATAGCTAATCTGGCAGTATCAGAAGGGCAGCCAATATGAACTGCTGTAGTTCTTGAAGTGTTTGTCCCTTCCCTCCCCTGTCCAGGTCCTAGTAGCTGTGATTCCAGTTAGAATCCAGTTTAGAAAGGAAGGGACCTGTGATCTGGTAGAATTGCTGCCAGCACCAAATTAAAAATAATACTGAGTGAAAATTTCAGTTTTGTATTTTAAGATGGCATAGTCATACACAAAGTATATTGAATTGGGCTTGTATCAAAGATAGTCTGTGTGAAGGGAAGGGGGTATGTGTCTTTATTATGATGCTCAGGGCAGTCTTATGGATGCACACTGTGGAATGCTCACACCACTGCTGCCCACCGTGGAATACTCACACCACTGCTGTCCACTGTGGAATACTCATACATACCATTGCTGTCCACTGTGGAATACTCACACTACTGCTCTCCACTGTGGAATACTCATACGTACCACTGCCATCCACTGTGGAATACTCATACATACCACTGCCGTCCACTGTGAAATACTCACACCACTGCCATCCACTGTGGAATGCTCACACCACTGCCGTCCACTGTGGAATGCTCACACCACTGCCGTCCACTGTGGAATGCTCACACCACTGCTGTCCACTGTGGAATACTCATACATACCACTGC